GCCACCAGACAAATTAAACTAACAGACAACCATAAATGGTAAAATATATAACTCTGTGCAGCCACATACAGTTCTGGTACACGACGGTCACTGGTTATAAACAGAATAAAGACACAAGTCAATTGATTTTGAAATTAGTTTGTTGTTAAGCCTGGCGCACACGATACGATTTTAGTCGGCCGATAAAAAGCGTTTGACATACCGATATACATTGGTATACTCCGCACACGATTACGAAAAAAATACGCTCCCTGAACTGTAGCCGCCATGTTGCCAAATAAATACAAGCGCGTGATCACAGCATGAAATCTGATTGGTTATACTTAAAATTCCACCGATAAAAATCGTATAATATCAAAACGTTTTGATGTTGTCCGATTAAAATCCAGCAACAAAAATCGGTTAAAAATGACACCGCACACACAACGATTTTGTTAGTTCTAGTCAAACGATTTTTATCGGCCGACTAAAATCGCATCGTGTGCGCCAGGCTTTAGAAATAGCATTTAAAATTTTAATTAAACAGCATATTTTATGAAATGTTGCACTATTTCCATTTAACCAAAATACATTTATTGGAAAGTATAAGGTTAGAAGAACAGGAAACAGTGCTTTTAATGTGCATACCCCTATCTAAACCTACTGTGTAAAATATTACCTAAAGTCATAAAATATTACAATATTTATACCTATTTATATATTTACATGTTAATTTCTTACCTTATTTATTTTTAAAAATTATGATTTTACATTGTGGGTGCAACAGAACTCGGTTCCGGCTGGTTAGTTCCTGCCGGAACTCCAATTTTTCAGAGTTCCAGCGGGAACTAATAAAAAAAGCATGACCTGGAACTCTGTTGTTTTCAGAGAGATAGAATATCATTCGTATTTGTGTCAAACAAAAGTTCACAGTAGAAATAAATTTGGACTACACAAAATGTACATGACGTTTAAAGTTTGTCAATTTTTTTATTCTAACATTTGCGCGCCCTCCTTGATGAGTCGTTGAAGTGGCTGCCTGTCTGGCAACAGACAAAGTAACATACGACTATATATGGCTTAATAAATCAGTTCAGGCCGGAACTTTAAAAATTGGTTCCGGTGCACCCCATTTTACATATTACCGCAGCATGACTTAATGTCAACAATATATATTGTCGTGTAATGTGAAATAATGTGAAATAATGTAAAACTATGAGATGCAATGAGTATTCTCCAAATGGCTTGCCAATTTTAATACATGTACACTTTCCAATGTGGGCAATGATTGAGCAATGTCTGCAGGTTGTGGTGTTTCAGTTCACATTGTGATGTTGTTTGGTTGAGGGTTGTCCAATACTGTAGCAAGCAAACCGACAGTTAGTTTGGTGAAATTATTTCTGCCATCGGTGTCCGTCGGTACCGATGGAGAAATGAATTTACCATCGGTAAATTTGAAAAGTCCGTCGGTGAATGAGATAGTTAGCATTACGACGATGGCATAAAGTATTCCTCCAAAACACTGTCCGTCGGTACCGTCGGTACCGATGGTAAGGCAATTCACCATCGGTAAATAGAGATTGTCCGTCGGTACCGATGGAGAAATGAATTTACCATCGGTAAATTTGAAAAGTCCGTCGGTGAATGAGATAATTAGCATTATTGCGATGGCATAAGGTAGCTTTCCAAAACACTGTCCGTCGGTACCGTCGGTACCGATGGTAAGACAATTCACCATCGGTAAATATTAAATAAGGATTCTCCATCGGTACCGACGGAGATATGAATTAATTTACCATCGGTAAATTTGAAAAGTTCGTCGGTACCGATGGAGAAATGAATTTACCATCGGTAAATTTGAAAAGTTCGTCGGTGAATGAGATAGTTAGCATTATTGCGATGGCATAACGTAGCCCTCCAAAACACTGTCCGTCGGTACCGTCGGTACCGATGGTAAGGCAATTCACCATCGGTATATAAGGATTGTCCGTCGGTACCGACGGAGAAATGAATTTACCATCGGTAAATAGAGATTGTGCGTCGGTACTGATGGAGAAATGAATTTACCATCGTTGAATTTGAAAAGTCCGTCGGTGAATGAGATAGTTAGCATTACTGCTATGGCATAAGGTAGCCCTCCAAAACACTGTACGTCGGTACCGTCGGTACCGATAACAAGGCAATTCACCATCGCGGGTAAATAGAGATTGTTCGTCAGTACCGATGGAGAAATGAATTTACCATCGATAATTTAAATAAGGATTGTCCGTCGGTACCGACGGAGATATGAATTTACCATCGGTAAATAAGGATTGTCCGTCGGTACCGATGGAGAAATGAATTTACCATCGGTAAATTTGAAAAGTCCGTCAGTGAATGAGATAGTTAGCATTATTGCGATGGCATAAGGAAGCCCTCCAAACACTGTCCGTCGGTACCGATGGTAAGGCAATTCACCATCGGTAAATAAGGATTGTCCGTCGGTACTGACGGAGAAATGAATTTACTATCGGTAAATAGAGATTGTCCGTCGGTATACTGATGGAGAAATAAATTTACTATCGGTGAATTTGAAAAGTCCGTCGGTGAATGAGATTGTTAGCATTATTGCGATGACATAAGGAAGCCCTCCAAAACACTGTCCGTCGGTACCGTCGGTACCGATGGTAAGGCAATTCACCATCGGTAAATAGGGATTGTCCGTCGGTATAGATGGAGAAATGAATTTACCATCGGTAAATTTGAAAAGTCCGTCGGTGTATGACGTAATTATAAGGTAACCCCGCATCCAGGCTGTTATGAAGCACCCAAGAACCCAAGCTTTCTCTTGAGAGCCTGGGTTCTAGGTTGAGTATCAGGAAGCTCTCAAAAACGTTGTCCGTCGGTACCGTCGGTTACCAATGGTAAGGCAATTCACCATCGGTAAATAGAGATTGTCCGTAGGTACAGATGGGGAAATGAATTTACCATCAGTAAATTTGAAAAGTCCGTCGGTCAATGGGATATTAGCATTATTGCGATGGCATGAGGTAGGCCTCCAAAACACTGTCCGTCGGTACCGTCGGTACCGATCGTAAGGCAATTCACCATCGGTAAATAAGGATTGTCCGTCGGTACCGATGGAGAAATAAATTTACCGATCATCGGTAAATTTGAAAAGTCCGTCGGTGAATGAGATAATTAGCATTATTGCTATGGCATAAGGTAGCCCTCCAAAACACTGTCCGTCGGTACCGTCGGTACCGATGGTAAGGCAATTTATCATCGCTAAATAGGGATTGTCCGTCGGTACCGATGGAGAAATGAATTTACCATCGGTAAATTTAAAAAGTCCGTCGGTGAATGACGTAATTATAAGGTAACCCCGCATCCAGGCTGTTTTGAAGCACCCTAGAACCCAAGCTCTCTCTTGAGAGCCTAGGTTCAGTATCAGGTAGCTCTCAAAAACGTTGTCCGTCGGTACCGTCGGTACCAATGGTAAGGCAATTCACCATCGGTAAATAAAGATTGTCCGTCTGTACCGATGGAGAAATGAATTTACCATCGGTAAATTTGGAAAGTCCGTCGGTGAATGACGTAATTATATGATTATATTATACTGTATAATGTGATTTCGTGCGGATGGAGACGGAGATTATAAACTCATTTGATACACGATGCGTAATACGTAAATAGGCTTTAACTATTAATTATAATTTATCGTGGGTATACACTAAAGGAAGACTATTCCATATTTGGAAAAGACTGATTCTGTATTGATATATATCATGGGCATAGAATTGCAGCTATTATTATATATATATTCACTATACCACACTATACTGAAAAATGAAACTCAATTAACTGATAGAGTATATACAGTCGAACCCCTATAAGCGGACACCTCTCTTAAGCGGACACCTCTTTTAAGCGGACACAAATCTCAGGTCCCATTCGTTTTCTTTAATAAAATACTATTATCATAACCCCTATTAAGCGGACACCCCTCTTTAACGGACGCGGACACCTTAATTGAGGTCCCAATGGGCAAACCAACCTCTCTTAAGCAGACAGATGACAGATTTTCTGATAAAATGTATTCAATATTCGACAGTAAATAACAATTGAGATCAATTTACATGGCACATTGACAGTGACACACCAACCTGGCGCGAAGACATCAGAGCCAAGATTATTAAGGAAGTGACGAGTTAGCAAAGTGAAGACATCAGAGCCAAGATTATTAAGGAAGTGTGAGCCGCCAGCAAAGGAGCCGAAAGATATGTGTGAGATCACTGATGATGACAACGACCTGAACGAAGATGATGAATTTGACTGGTCTCTTAACGAACCAGTCATTAAATCTTCCTCCGAAGCTCTTAAATTTGTCGAGTGCCTGGCAGAATTCGCACAATTTAGAGGTTGGAAGAACTTTCTAACGTCATTTTTATGCGAATGACATTATAATGGGCTATCGTCTGCGTGAGCCTGGGAAGCAAACTTGTATCGATTCTGTGAGAGACGTATACATTTTCTAATGAACTTTTATGCACAAAGAAATGTTCATTTTATGCTAATTATTTGCTTAATATTTTTTACTGTTTTGATACTCAAATTACACACCTAATTACACCCCTTTGCCTCCTGCTGTGTTTTTCTATACATACCCCTTTTGAGCGGACACCCCTTTTAAGCGGACACTTAGGCGAGGTCCCGAAGGTGTCCGCTTAATAGGGGTTCGACTGTATTATTATGTTCCTCAAACGTGTTTAATCGATTTACTGTAGTATTTGCTATTAACCACTAGCTACAGTCTGAGAGTGCACCACTTAAGTGGCTGCGTAAAACTAGCAAATAACTCTGAGTTAAATCATGTTAATCTGTATTTATACATTTTCAGTTATATCTAAGACATTCCTAATAGTATTTTAAGTATTTAAATAAGGTGTCTAAGTAAATAACAACCCATAACTAAGCCATATTTAAAAATAGCCTGTACATGAATGATATATTCTTAGTAAGGGTGTGCTTGTTTAATTGACATGGAACTTTTGATGGAATATGACAGTGATAGTGACTCTGGTGAGGCTAATACACAAGAGTTGGAAAATGGTAGTCGCTCAGTGTATTTTATTACGTATAGTCAAGCCGATAAAGCAGTATTTCCAACACGGAAAGACTTTGCTTTAGGAGTTGAGAAGTCCTTTTCGACTGGCAGAGCTAAGGTCGTGCAATGGTGTTGCTCAGAGGAGGAACACAGAAACAAAGGAAAACACTACCATATAGTGGTAAAGCTTACACAAAACCAACGATGGCTCACCTCTAAGAGGTTCCTAATGGAAAATTACGGCGTAAGTGTCCGCTACTCGAGTGCCCATCACGACTATTACAGTGCATGGAGATATGTCACGAAGTCGGATAAAGATTTTGTACAAAGTGAAAACCACCCCCGTCTACGAGAGGCTCCTAAACCAAAAACGACTAATGCGAGCCGGGCCAGGTGCAGCAAGAGGAAAATGAAACGTCCAGCCCGATATTCTAGTGCCCAGGACACCTTGCTCGAAGATGAAGACGAAGAAGGAGAGAGGCCATCCGCCAGGAAACGCAAAAAAAGACTAACAGCATTCGAGGTGTCGCAGATCATGTAGAGGGGAACATTAAGAATTTGATTGAGCTTCAAGCCCTTGCGTTTGAACAAAAAGAGGAAGGAAAAACTGATCTGGCCGAGTTCCTAGTCAATCGAAATCCTCGAGCAGTTGCTGATATGATGCAATCTACATGGGAGATAGAGGAAGCGAAAGCTAAATTGGAGAGAGCAAAGAAAACGAGAATGGAACTGCTACAGGAGGCAAGACGGAGTGAATGTGCACAAGGTTGTAACGGCGATTGGTTAAGTTGTGCTGAAGAGATTCTTCACAATAATGGCTTATCAGTAGAGTACTTCGGCGAAGTCGTACGCGATCTATTTCCGAAATATAATGCTAACAGGTCCAGCAAATTGTGGGAAAACGTTTCTCCTCAACCCTCTCACACTTATTTTCAACACCTTTTGCAACCCAGCTTCGGGCACTTTCGCATGGATTGGGGCGGAAACAGCAGAGTGTATCTTTCTCAATGATTTTCGCTGGTGTCCACAGCTGTTGACATGGCACGACTTACTTTTGTTGTTGGAAGGCCATGTAGTTCATTTACATTAACATTGAATCAGGGGGGAGAGGGGGGCAAAACCATGGAAATTTTAAATACTCATGAACATGACATTTGATCTCATATTTGTCTTAAGTGTATTGTCCAAGATTGTAGCTGTGCTGAAAGACTTCGGACTTCGGACTTCAGACTTCAGATTTCAAACATTGGTTCCGAGCTTCGATAATAGCCAACATTGCTCTCAGAATCACTTTGTTTTTGCTTTATTCTCTCGTTTATACAGTTAGCTACCTTTTTACAGTAAATGCATCTGCCGGTTGAGAAACATAAAATCATAGTTATATTATATTATTTGAGAAACTTCAATGATGCTTTAAAGGCACAGTTCAGCCTTTTGAACGATGGTTTTTAAGGGGCATTTGAGCCCTTTTAATTGAAAAAACTAACTAGGAAAATCAATTAAGCATAATTCAAAATCAGTAAACTCGATGTTTTTAACAATATAAATGTTTTAAAATGTTAAAAACATTTAGTTTGGTGATCTTGAATTATGCTTAATTGATTTTCCTAGTTAGTTTTTTCAATTAAAAGGGCTGAAATGCGCCTTAAAAACCATCGTTCAACAGGCTGAACTGTGCCTTTAAAATTGACGCCATATTGAAGCCATATAAGCAAAACTTACTGAACTTCAGACATCATTTTCTCTTTGGCATATCATCTAAAATCTCGTCAATTTAGCATTATTTTACAGATAAAGCACAAAACATACTTTTTAAGTTTGTTTGCCGATGGAGAAACGTATCGAAAAATAAAACTTTTGAATTTAGTCATAACCTCAAGTGGTATATTATACGCATTAGTTTTGAGCGCTTGTTACGTAACATACTTAACAATTAACTTGATAAATTTAAGAATAAAATTAATAAATTTACTGCAGTATTAAATTTACGTGGCATTTCCACAAACAGTAGTATTATATGATTTATTGTCCTGCGTTTAAACCTACAAAGAACTCACTGACACATTCCAACAGTCTGCATTTACAGTCTAAATCATTATGACCATTTTTGACTTTAGTTTGAATAGCTTTGACTGAATAAGTGCCTTGAAATATTAGCCAGCTTCGCAAAAGCAATGTTGGCTATTAGCGAAGCTCGGAACCAATGTCTGAAGTCTGAAGTTCCTACCCGGCTTTCGTAGGAACCTTGTCCTCAGCGTGAGGAACCTTGTCCTCAACGTGAGGAACCTCGGGAAGGGCCTCTTCATATATATTATATGTCTGACGTTTTGGCAAGAACTTTATTACAGTTTATATGTATTTTCTGTTGTATATCGAGTCCCTGTTCATATTTGATGTTACGTGGCCCAGTGCGAAATGAATATTTTTTCAGATGCCCACGTTAATGTTCAAATTTCATATACTGGTGCTACATGGTTCTACCTTTTTTATAAGTTATTGTCCTCTATTTCTTTACATATGATGTTCATGTACAGTATCTGTGATGTGCCATCGAATTGTCGAAATTGCTATACATTTTATAGCAGGATGGATAAATTTCATTTTTGGCTTCTCACAGTTTGTGACGCGCGGCCAGCAAATCTAATCCTCTAAATTATGTCGCGATGATCGTTTCTATGTTTTACAGACTTTGCTATCTGCATGGCTCTATAATAGTATAAATTCCCACAGAGAGCCCACTCCGGTTCCTATTATAACAATATATTATTACGAAATATATAGTTCAGTGTTGAACAGCAGGCAGAGTCCCTGTATTTTGCGGGTTGACTGAGGACTGACCCGCTCGAGGAACATTTAACTACATGTACATCTAGAGCAAGAAGAACTTCAGTCATTCGGCGTAAGTGAAAGTCATTCGGCGTGAGAAAAGTGAAACCAAGATGGCGGCCATTGACATTCAATAGCTCGATCAGAAGTCCGTAAACGGCTTTTATACCATTTCCCCCGCAAAATTCAAGTTATAGCGTTATGCTTTAATAACTCGATGGGAAACTATTATATTTCAGCACGCTCATCGACCAGAAGGCGCTATTGGGTGTCCGTTACAGTTCCTTTTTTATTGTTTTTGTCCGCGCCGTTAACAGAAGCTAAATGCTCTATAGCCTTTGTGTCATATTGAGCACTCTACAGGATGAGCCATTGCTGCTTATGCATTGTGCGCATGCTCACTGCTTGCAGTTTGAGCACTCTGCCAATGGTTTGATGTCCCACATTCGTGAGACATCAAAGGTAACTATTTATAGTGGTTACTTTCTACTGATGAGGCCCAAAAGGTCGAAACGGTACCGGCTGTATAGTTATATCATGCAACACGAGCTGTATTGTATAGCTGTAGTTATTTCAACACGAGAAAATAAAAGTCATATTTCCAAAGCCACCGTGAAATGTTCTTTTTATTATATGGATAAAAGTTGAAGCAAAAACAAAAAAAAGTATGACTTTATTAGTTTATTCAAGTTTTGTTTTTTGTTTTGTAGCTCACCGTACGGCAACAATGTTTATGTCTCTCCGCTTGCTAATCGAGACTAAATAGTCGCTGAAGATCGCCAAATAGGACTAATTAGTCTTCCTTTTTGTGTTTTCATTTTCTTCAGAAAACCTTGCCAAATCAGCGTCGAAAACATCAACAAAATGTCGAGAAGTTTTCATATTGTATATTCAAAACAGAAACGGCAAATTGGCGGGAATTAGCGTGGGTCCCGCGCTAGACGTTCCCGCGTTAGATATGATTTCATATTTCACTATAGTGAAATACGGAAAATATCAGCCTAGACCTAGGCCTTCTATTTTTATTTATATTTTTTTAATATTCAGCGCTTTTTCACATGAAAAGACTGGGACTAGGTAATTTGGGGGCGGGGCGGAGGAAGGACACAAGCCTGACGCAAGCGAAAATATAGAAGGCCTAGTGGATTTCCCAACAACAAGGCCAAAACTGCCTGAAACTGCCCTGATTGCGAAATGCCCAATTGTTGCGTTCTCAAACAGAATTATTTGCAACTTAACAGCGAATTTAAACCGATACAGGTAAAATAAACTCATTTATAGTATAAACTTACTATTTTTATTTGTATACACGTCTAGAAAATCGGGTTTTTTATCATAAAGTTTGAAACAACACTATTTATATATGTTGACAAGGTGTAGCGAAACGGCACAAAATAATAATTCTTTTATTCGCAAGACAATCTACTGTTTTGCTTTGAATAACTATATTTGCGAATTGGGAATGAGGAATTTGAAATTAGTGTTCAAATATTACAGATATACCATTTGTATAAACAATGTACGTTTTTATATACAGTACTGTACGGGCTAATAATATATGTATCCGTTTTATTTTGTATATTTTACAAACACAAGACTGCTTCTTGCCAAAATTGAGAAAATATATATTAATGTAGTTGTGTATAAGACAAAATTTCATGAAAGATTCTACTTTTGGTATATATTTTGACTCATTTTGTTCTTTCGCTACACCTTGTCAACATATTAAATAATAGTGTTGCTTCGAACTTTATGATAAAAAACCGATTTTCTAGACGTGTACATGTATACAAATAAAAATAGTAAGTTTATACTATAAATGAGTTTATTTTACCTGTATCGGTTTAAATTCGTCGTTAAGTTGCAAATAATTCTGTTTGAGAACGCAATAATTGGGCATTTCGCAACCAGGGCAGTTTCAGGGCAGTTTTGGCCTTGTTGTTTGAGAAATCAACTAGGCCTTCTAGGCTTGGTTCCTCCGCCCGGCCCCCAAATCACCTAGTCCCAGTCTTTTGATGTGAAAAACCGCTGAATACTAAAAAATATAAATAAGACTAGAAGGCCTAGGTCTAGGCTGGGAAAATATCAGTGGCGTATTTTACGGTATTTTATTCATATCCATACAATATATATATATATATATATATATATACATACATAGATAGATAGATAGATATAGATAGATAGATAGATTTTTAAAGAGCATTTAATAATAATTTAATATTTTAATACAATTTTTCAATTGAATAAGCAACTTGAA